ATGAAAACTGTTACTCCACATGCAGAAGAAAGAAACTGGTCATTCCTGTCCTCAATCCCAGAAACTAATGGGATAGATTAAAGACTTACATGTTTTACCCAAAACTTTAAATCCACAAAAGAAGCCATGGGTGAAATGCTTCCTGACAATGCAATGCTTAAGGATATTTGGACAAGATGCCAAAGTCACAGGGTGCAAAAGCAAAAGTAGACAAATTGGATCATTTCCTTAGCAAAGACACAGGATAAAGGGAAGCCATATGGAAAAGGAAAAAAGTTCTCAAATTGTACATCGGAGAAGAGATGGGTATTCCGAGCACATAAGACATTCCAAGGATAGCATAAAAGAACATGGAAGAGGGACAAGAGATCTAAGGGACTTTCTGGAAAGAAGATTCTGCCACGGCTGGCAGTTACGTGACAATGCACTCAACATCATTGACACGAGGAGACGCAAACGCCAACCAGAATGGGTTATCATCTCACTCCAGTAAGAGTTCCCGTGTACCACAGCTCTGCTCCGTGATCTGGCGTGCTGCTGGTTGGTGTGCATGCAAAGGAGGAGGGGTCAATGTGGGTTAAAGGAACAGTTAGGAACAGGAACTTTGGTGATGTCACTATGCAAAAGTGTGACTCCATTAAAACACTGCACTGTAACTCGCAGGAAGACCTAGAAGAAACAATTCTGAAAGGTTTGACCACAAAGAAAGGGTCAATGCTCCGTGATCTGGCGTGCTGCTGGTTGGTGTGCATGCAAAGGAGGAGGGGTCAATGTGGGTTAAAGGAACAGTTAGGAACAGGAACTTTGGTGATGTCACTATGCAAAAGTGTGACTCCATTAAAACACTGCACTGTAACTCGCAGGAAGACCTAGAAGAAACAATTCTGAAAGGTTTGACCACAAAGAAAGGGTCAATGTTTGATGTGACCGATATGTTTAACCTGATTGAAACACTATGCAGTCCTTGAATGTATGGAAATATTGCAATGAACCTCATTCATAAGTGGCATAAATGTGCAGTGTGCTGAAACTTTACAATCTGTACGGGAGCTTGTGAATCATACCTAGACCAAGAGTCAGAATGTCCCAGTTCTCCCAGTAGACTCCTTTATTTATCTTCTAGTCACAACACCCCTGAAAAAGTAACCCCCTTTCAGAGCAGTCATAATCATAGGAGTACAGAGATGTTTTACAGTCAGCGTTTAGAATTTTAAATTCAAGAAAATGACTGTCTGTAAGTGTCACTTTTAAGAAGCTTGATAAACACATGTACATAAGTAAATCGACTTATAAAATATTTCCATCATCCTAAAATTTTCTCGTTTCCTGCTGTATTGGATCAGTTCCTTTGGCCCTCTGCTTTTCTCAGTTACAAATTATATTTTTAAGTTACATTTTTCCCCCCTTAGAATGTTGCCATGTCCAGAATGAGACAACTGCAATCATATTGGAGAAAACGTTGTGAGTTTGGTTTTTTCCACATAGCAAAAGTTCAGTGTCTAAGTCTAATTTTTAAGTATAAGCTATCGATAAGTGTTCCATTTTGTAGATGTCCTATCTTACTTAGATTTATTTGCTAATATTTACTCATCGATTCCTCTTACGCAAATATACATTAAAACTTCCTGCATTTCTTGGCAGATCCCGATGTCACATTTCTTTCATCCAAAGTTTATGAATCGAATCACTCTCTGAAGCCTGCCTTGGCTGCTTCTAAATTTTGGAAATTAGATATGATGCTGCTGTGAGGAGCAGTGTGCAGATGTTTGTGTAGAAATGCATTTTCTGCTGTTTGGGATCTGCAGCAAGGGATCCAGAGAAGGGATGATTGCTGGCTTTTTAGTAAAAGTGTATTTCACTTGGAAAGACAGCTCCAAGGTGTGTGCTCAGCTGGCTGCGTCCCCAGGATTCCCACCTCACCCAGTGAGCCTGCCCCCCGCTCCTCCACCTGCTCGCCAGCATCTGTTGTTCACCGAGCTCTGAGGTTGAAGCGTTGTAACGGGTGTGGGAGGTCGCATGGTTTTCGTCTGCGTCTCCCTATGACCCGTGAGGTGGCTGAGCTTGCACGTGCTTATTTGTCGTCTTTCTTCTCTTCTGAGATACCTGTTAAATACTTCATTATAGCCTTTGAACAGATTGTGTTCTTATTTGTAACATTTAACACGTCACACTTTGTTTGCAAACGCTCTCTAGTGTCTGTGGCTTACTGTGTCCTATTTAGACCACCGTGTAATCAATTTCCACAATACTTTTAGAAAGTTTTACGTTGGTACCTAGGTTCACATCTGTGAATTGTATGTGAGGTCCCAAAACAAGAAATGCCCTGGACAAGAAACTAAAAGGGCTGACTTATAACACTGTTGAATCTCTATTATTACACTGTCTTAGTACATAGGACTTGTAGTTATATTTTTATTTTATTAACTAGCCTGGTGAGGTTGCCAAATGGGCTTTCACTTGATTCACTTATTTTTCTCTTCCTTTATGGAATGTTAAAATCACAGAAACTTCAGATTTAAACAAGTAAAGCGAGTGATCACTAAGAATGATTGCATTGTATCGTAACTTATGCTTTCACAGTTGCAGATCAACCCGGTTTCCAGGAGGTCAAGAGACTTCCACAGGTTTTATTTCCAAGAAAAGGAATCGGATTTCAGAGACTGTTATTGTCCTGATGACACATATTTACCATCGAGGCCAACACTGATTCTCTGTGAGCTCTATGCCTATTTGCTTTGCATTTTATATCACTGGGCAAAATGCCTTCATGCAATGATATTGGATCGTGTAATTCACTGCTCCACATCAGGGAGTCACTTGCTGCACAAACAGCAGAATTAGCTCGGTCGCTTTCTCCCCTGGGAGAGTTGGTGTGTATTCTCCTTGGAGCACCCTGCAGACTTCTAGAAGGACGCGAGGGCCTAATATAAGAAAACAATGCCTGCTACCTCCTCAGGCCTTCAGCAGGAGGGCGGTTCACTTCTGATGGTAAGTGAAAGGCCAACATGTGAAACATTTGGACGCTACAGGGTTGAATTTGAAACTCCAATGCATGCCTTAATACTTGAATGTAACACAGAGGACTTAACTTCAGGTAATAGTGCAAATTGAATCCCTTCTATTTCAGGAAATTCAGCAGAGAAAACGGGGGGAATTCCCTAAAAACATCAGCAAACAGATCTGTGATTTAACAATTTGCTTTAATTTTCTTGAGAAAGGATAATGGCCAGAAGAAAAGAATAGAATATAGAATTAAGTGTATAATTGGCACAAACGACAAAATGTAAACCATATCAAGTTCATTTAAAATGCCTACTTCAGTGACTGGCTAAATGATATTTTTGGACTTTTTTCTTATGAAAAGATTTAAATTTTAAATTTTTTTTCAGTAGAAAATTGATATGAGGCTGTTCAGCTTCAGCATTATTTTTTAAGATTTCATAGTCTTCTCTGAGCTTGATTGCTTCATAAATGAATCTGAATACTAGTGAGGGTGATTTTGTGCTGTTTCTGGGTGGTGGCGTCTGCACTCCAGCCCTACACAATGCGTGTGTAGAAGGGTCAAGTAAAGATACCACAGGGTGGGCCAAAACCAGGGCTTGAATCAAGGCTCCCTTACTACCCGTGAGACGCTGTCACTTCTGAGTGCCTGGGCCACAGCTTTCTCATGAATACAAGGCCGCTGAGCAGTCGTTTTGCAGGAGTGTGCAGACCCCAGGAGGAAAAGCACACACGAGATTTACCCCTGGGAGATTGGCAACACGGGAGCTGCTGTACAATACTTTCTGTTTTTTGAGCTCATTGTTTGTAGGATGGCCAGCAATCTGTGTTCTCAGATTTTGAGAACTGAAGCCTTGAATTTTCCTTGCTTTTCCAGATTATTTATGCTTTTTTAAAAATTCTGAGATCTGTATTTTTACCTATATGCTGTCAGTGCGAGATCACAAAAGTAAATGCAGTGGGATCTAATTCCCTAAATGGTTAGTTGCCCAGACGTGTGTTGAGAGCATCTTGGATAAAGTATTGAAAACCAACCCTACTGTAGACAATCCTTCCTGTTCCCAAGAGTGACTTCAGTAAATGCTCTATTGAAACATGATCTGGAACAAAGGATGCTTTATTAATTCATAAATGACCTGTTTGCTCCATAGCAAAGAGCACAGCTATCATTGTTTGGTAGAAAATTATTACCATCCAAAGTCCACGGGTACCAGCTCCCCATGATGAATCTGCTCATCCTGTACGACAAACACGTGCAATCAAGGAAGGCACGAGGAGGTCACTTAAAAATGTTAATTGCGTATCTCCCCTGTCCATAGACAAATAAAAGTCGTTTTCAATTCCAGCATTTAATAGACTATTGGGATTCGCTGAGTACGATATCATCAGCATGGACTTTTAGTCTCACATAAACCTGCCCATCACTGCCCGTAAGCACTGAGGAGGGAGCCAGTTGTCTCATGTGCTTGAATGCTTCTGTCAGGAAGACTACCCCACTAACTAACTGAGATGGAAGTCTGATTACTCCATTTTCTAGCAAATTAGAAAGTCTATTCACTAATCCTCACCTTGTTTCTGTTGCTTGTGTGACACTGTAAGTGTGGCTGTTCCATGTGCAAACCTGAGAGCAGCAAGGAAAGTTGTTCTATCGATTCTGTATGGAACCCGGGGTGAGTGTTGAATCTTTGTGAACTTTGACACAAGGAAATAGGAGGGCAGCTGAGAACATCTGAGAGAAACAGTGGAAAGCCAGCAACGGAGATGTGAAGATTCAGCTCATGAGAGGCATCAGTCGGCAGCTGAATAACTACAGCTCCTCACCTCATTCAATCACAGTAATGAATCCTCTCGGGACAGGCTGAGTCATCCCTGTGTATGTCCTCAGTGACACGGATTTCTCCTTGCCTTTCCACCACAACACAAATGCTGGACTCTGTTACACCAGACATTGCCTTTAGAACTTATAAATAATAACTGAAAGGTCAGAGACGGCAGAAGACATGGATTCCCACGTGATTTATTTGGGGAACAGGACTGAAGTCACCATGTTTATCCTGACCGGTTTCACAGATGATCATGACCTGCAAGTCTTCCTGTTTTCCCTGTTCCTAGCAGTCTACCTCTTCACTCTGGTAGGAAACTTGGGTCTGGTATCTTTGGTCATCGCTGATATCCAGCTCCATAAACCCATGTACTATTTTCTCAGCATGTTATCATTCTTGGATGCCTGCTACTCCACAGTTGTCACCCCAAAAATGTTAGTCAATTTTCTGATGAAGGATAAAACCATTTCACTTCCTGGATGTGCAACACAGATGCTTGTCTTTGTTACTTTTGGGACCACAGAGTGCTTTCTCTTGGCAGCAATGGCTTATGACCGCTACGTGGCCATCTACAACCCTCTGCTGTATTCAGTAAGGATGTCACCTGGAGTCTATGTCCCACTGATCACTGCTTCCTATGTTGGTGGTATTATACATGCCACGGTACATACTGTGGCCACGTTTAGCCTGTCCTTCTGTGGATCCAGTGAAATTCGGCACGTGTTCTGTGACATCCCTCCACTTCTGGCTATCTCCTGTTCTGATACCCACACAAACCAGCTTCTACTCTTCTACTGTGTGGGCACCATTGAGGTGGTCACCATCCTGATCGTCCTCATGTCCTATGGCTTCATCCTGTTGGCCATTCTGAGGATGCGTTCTGCTGCAGGGAGGAGGAAAGTGTTCTCCACATGCGGCTCTCACCTAGCCGGAGTGTCCATTTACCACGGGACGATCCTCTTCATGTACGTGAGACCAAGTTCCACCTACGCCTTGGAGCAGGACATGGTGGTGTCCATATTTTACACCATTGTGATTCCCATGCTCAATCCCATCATCTACAGTTTGAGGAACAAAGATGTCAAAGGGGCGATGAGAAAATTCTGTAAGAGAAATTGGTTTGAAAACAAAGTTCCTTTTTAGAATTTTAACCGATAATAATGCTGGCTTTAAGTCTATTTATGTGTGGTGAAGCTTAGAGAGAAAACATTGTTTGTATTTCCTAATGCTTTTAGTCCTAAAATATTTCCAAGGAAAGTATAAATTAGCCCTCAAGGGCAGCATGTGAGAAGTGTCTTGTATTATCAGTGCACACATACATGTTCACACATGTTTATTGTACAGTCGTTACTGCTTTGTGGTCACTATTTATATATATATGTTAAGTGAGGCTTTGTATACATTGATTTGAAGTAAATGTTAGAAGTAATGTTTAACATCTTAATAGTGCTAATAGTCCTAAAATTGTACTGCTTGGAATATCCTCACATAGCTTCTAATTCTCCAGCACCCACTAGAAATTTAATTCCTCTTTTTCTCAGTGCTACTGCCATGGTCCCCCCTTTCCTGATGTGCTCATGTTACACCAGGCCTCTGCATGTGCCTCTGACTAATTTGGGTCAAATTCCACACTTTTCTTCCTACCCGGGGAAGGACCTTTGTGCGGCCTGGTCACAGAAACTGACCCAGTCGGAAACTCTGGATCCGACTAACGTAAAACAAACTGACGCTGCACATCAAGTGCATTGAGACCGGACCCAGGGACAATGAAAACCAGCACCATCACACCCGGGAGACTAATCTGCGCTGGCTCCTCTGTGTGGCTTTTCTAAGACTCAGAGCAGCTCCCTTGGATGCTGATCCTTGGTCCTTTGATTCCGGTGCTCGCTCCATTCCTACTCCTGTGTGTGTTCTAATCTATGAGGGATTTCCTTGCATTTGATTTCAGTCCACAACCTACTTCAATAGTATTTCCAAGTCTAACTTCCATATAAAATTCAAAATTTTCCAGCACGCCAGAATCATTCTTTAGATTTATACCATGGCCCCATGGTCCCAGGATTGTTTAGAAAATATTGTGGTCCAAATGATCTGGAATATCAGTGTGTTGTTGCTTAAATGAAGCAAAGAAACATTAGCTGGGAAACTAAAAGGTGAAACCAGAAAGTAGGATGATCACATTGATACCTAAAACACTCTGGTTAAAATTGTTCACAAATTCATCAAAAATTGATGGTCAGTTAACCTGGAAAATACATTGCAGATGCTCCTTTTATCTAGCAGCATCATGAACTCCAATGTTGCTGACTATATTTCCCATCTGTGGTTATTTTCCAACTCACTGTAATAGAATGGTAAACAATGGCATCGTTTCCAACTTCAGTTAATAAATTCATTCCAC